AATATTAGCGGTTTTGTTTGACACTTTTCAATGCCGCCTCGTTGAGCATGGAGAAATCAATACAAAATTTCAATAACTTGTGTATGTAAACCACTTACGCCCACTGTATGTAAGCATATTACGCATATCATATATATATCATATACATATATTAAGGTGGGTCTAAAAAGTGTTTTTCTCTTGGTACTCGGAAAAATATATACCTTTAAAAATGTTCTCCAAGTATTTAGCTTTTAATTGTAATGGGAAGGTCCGCCGCCTTTCTCCTTGTTTATCATCAGATTGGAGGATTTTTATCTCGCTTCCAACTACTTCAAAAATCTTTCGTTTCATAGATTTTATATAAAATTGAATGCTCTACAAAATGAACTCATGCGTTCTATGAAAATAAAATGTGTTCAAGTAGTTGGAAGGGGGATACAAATTTTTCTATCTAGTAACTAGAAACAAATTGAAAACCTTTAGGCGGAGCACCATCTCGTTACAAATAAGAACTCACACTTGGAGAATATTTCTTAGAGGTGTCTATCAACCACTTTTTCAGAGCGCGAAGCGGTAAAAAGCATTCGTTTTATTTTGACCCACCCTAATATATATGGTGCAGTGTTCGCCTACAACTTTATTACAAACTACCGCATCATTGGCAGCGTGCGAGTTTTTTACGCATAATTTTGTTTATAGCATCTCTTTGTTACATATTTTGTATTTTCCACTTCATCGCCTTCGATCACAACGTAATATTCAACTTAAATTATTACTTTTAATGTTTGTGGTTTTTGTTGTTACTTTATAAGCTTTCATGCTCAATTTTGATGTAAATTAATATTTTCAATTTCATGTTCATGTAAACCGATTTATTATTTCAAAATCTCTCGTGTAATTGGAGCTGGATTGTATTCACCCATTCGAGCGATATGACGTAGTCGGCGTAACCGCAGTCACTTAAATCGCTAAATTATTTCAATGTCCATTCTGGAGAAGGCAGAACGAACGGCACGGTTGTTAAGGCCTGTATGTCGATCATCCTTTCACGGTTTTTTTTTTTCAAAGATTTGGCACATGGAGAGTACCTGGTCAGTTGTTGATATTCCTGGTCTAAAGTGTGACGGTGGGCTTTAAGGGGTATTCTAGTGTAGAAATCAAATTTTGGGCAGTTTTTTTAATTTTATTTAAAAAAAAAAAATATTTTTATCATCCATTTTTTTATTTTATTTTTATTGATATATTAACAGTACAGAAAAACAAATTTACAAAAAAATATTAAAAATATTAATAATAAGGAGTTGGGGGACCCCTGGTGACATTGATCCTGACTCTCCTGGTGGTCTGAAAAAAAAAAATCCAAAGGAATTCTTAATCAGTAAGGATGCTGTTATAGTCCATACCTCAAGGAGCACGAAAAATGGCGACTGCCTGAAAATAAAAATTATTTTTTACGTTTTTTTTTTTTGAAATTCCTGAATTTTTTTAAAATATTAAAAACAAAAATTTGGACACGAATTATATAAAGAAGGTTCACACAAAATTTCAAGTAAATCGGTTGTATAGAACTTGAGATAATGCCGGTACCGTGTGGAAAAATGTAGTTTCGAGAAAAACGCGTTTAAAAAAGTGAGTCAAATTTCAGGTAGTCTAGGTCTTCTATTAGTGCGCTAGGTACTGCGTCACTAAAGTAAATGTAGCTCTTAAATATATATAGGATATGTACTTAAGGATCTAAGCTTTAAATATATGAAAAACATTTAATTTTTCAAAATTCTAGAGTAGAATACCCCCTTAATATTTCACACAACACGCTCGGTAGAACCTTGTATATGGGATGGCGAGGAGGCTTATCCTACGGTAGTTGGCGCAGATTGTGGGGTCTCCGTTTTGTGATTTGGGCAGAGCCCACCTAAATTCCAATCGTCGGTCATGCTTTCGTCGGACTACATTCTACAAAGAAGTTGATATATGTTCCTTATCAGTTATTCGCCGCCGTAATTGAATAGCTCGGTCGAAAAATTTCTTCATTGCCGGGCAATGGAAAGTCTGCTCCATCGTCATTCATTGGCGAATCCATCTTTTAGATTTTATGAAACTCGTAATGCATGGGTTAACAATTGATAATTTCCCGGCCTGACATAGAGTTAAATCCATATGATTAGTTAGCCTTATACTTCAATAGGCGCTTTTCCAATTCGACAACTGTTCGATCATTAATTTGAGAATTATATAACTTTTCTTGTACAGCCTCTACATTAGTCGTTGAATGGTATTACCAGTCTGCTGGCATATCTGCTACATATACATATAACATGGTAATCGATTTAATGACCAGAAATTGCAATTGTCATACAAATTCCCTCTTTATAGTATTCTTATTTCAGAATGGTGCCTGCTTTTGCTTATCCATCTACATTGAAATGAGCAGGAATATTCCTACGTCCTGAAACTCATTTCAGGTTTATCAAGAAATTGGATATAAAAATATTTCGTGTCTTCTTTAACTAAATAATGTCGCAGTTGTGCGATGACAGCATGGCTCCACATAACATTAGCTGCATACTTGTATGTGTCCAATAAGATCTGAGCTAAGCAGTAATTTTTGTTGACCAAAAGATTTTAAAAAACGGTTGCGTTAATATATACAAATAGATATGCACGAAGATAATACAAGTAAACGTACTTCAAGAGTTGAAATAATACGATAAAAAATTTTATAAAAAAACGGCCGTCAAATATATTTCGAAGACTTTTTTATTATATACCATAGACCATGATATCATACCTGGATATAGTGCATTGACCAAGTGCCTTGCACCGACCCCAAACCACCTAAGCGTTTTATTACATTTCAATAGAGCTTAAGGTATAGAATTCAAGGAATTTCAAGCTTGATCTCGTAAAGACAGAACTGTTGGAAAAAAAAATATTGAGATTATAATATACTTCAGCTACTTCTAGACAACTTAATACACTCTATCACTTTGAGAGCTGGAGTTGTATTTTTAGCAGAGCACAGCTAAATGTTTTGGATAGGCTGACAAGTTGACCACGTAGCGAATGTGAACTTTAGTCATGCGGGTTATATTCGCTCGACTCATTAGGGAACACCAATACCAATTTGTCGAAGATAATAAAGGCCATGCTACAGGCCAATAACGTATGCACTATGTTTTGCTATAAAGATATAAGAATTAAGAGTTTGAAATAGAAAATACTGTGAACATACCGCCATCCAGAACCAGTTTAATATAAGTAATTCAAATTGTATTCCCTCAAGGTTAAAATTTAGCAGCCTCTTCCGGGCGAGGATATCATAAAGACATGAGTGAAGAAGAGGTTTGGTAAGAGAGAAAATGCACTTTCTGCCTATACCGACGGTTAAAAAAAACGACTGCCAAGTAAATGCCGATTTATACTCCGATGATCTTGAAATCTCCCTCTATGCGACTACCAAATTCAGCCATCATTTTCCAAGCGGAAGGACTAGGCATAAGAAAGATACAAAATCGCCAGCGCTGCTGGCTTTGTAGCCGACACTAATTAATTCCACCGTTGTCAGCAATTGCAGAAAGGCTCTAATTTCACTGGTTCTAATTTCAACAACTAAAAGGCAGACATTTGTTTAAATTTGGAGCCTCTTTACATGAATTCGAAATTTAGTTAATGCCATATCCTCTGAGAACGATCAAAGGAGAGCTTTATACTCACTTTGAACAAAAAGCACAGAGCAGATGAAGATATATAACCAACTGCCAAATAACGAATCAGATATAGCCCAAATATAATAAGACTAGAAGCAAGGACTTACTACATAGATGAAACCAGTTAGCAAGTTAATAGAATTTTCGACGATAGTGCATTAAATTGGTGAATTTGTTATAAAAATCCGGAACAGTTGCCATCTCGCTTTCCATTCTTGCATGTGTTTCATTTTGTACGCCCACAGGAAGAACTCATTGGGGTTTTTTCGATTCGCAATAATCTTCAGTCGGAGACGACCAAAACTTGCTCAGAAAAAATCACAATTTCACCATTACCCATTCCCCGTATACACTTCATATGGCAGCGTGCGACTTCTTCGTTTTCGGAAAAATGCATTTGCCTTGAAAGGAAAGCTTTATGCAGACGTAGAGGCCATTCAAAAGGCTTCCGCCGGCATACTAAACCACTCGTTCGACATGCTTTTGGATCGTGCAAAAAGCTCAATTGAAGCAGAAGGAGACTATTTTCAATCAAATAAATTGATTTCGTTGAAAAAAATGTTTTTTTTTTTTTTTTTTTTTTTTTTTTTTTTGAAGTCCGGTTTACTGTGAGACGCACCTTGTATTTGCCCAAATTGCAAATATTGTTCCGGAATAAATCTGTTCTTAAGCACTGGCAAAACGCACTAAATACAAAAAAAAAATTAAAATTTCAAAAATACCAACCAACCAAAAAAGGATTAATTCTTTAATAAAAAAATGCAATCTCTTTAGTCTTTTGTAATATTTAAATAATTCTAGATCGGCAAAGTGTGCGAAAAGGTGTGGGACCAACAAATGACAGTGGTATATGGCCGAAAAGAAACCTTGTATAAACACCTTAATATAACACCAAAGCCCAACCGTAAATGTTATGTATACAAAACAAAAACAATAGAGTGAACAAAAAAATTTCACTTTTGAAAATCCTTAAACATAATTCCAATATATAACATAATCCTTAACTAATACATGTGGGAGAACCTCTGCGTACCTGTGTGTATGTGACATAAACCCATAACTGTTGGATTTTAGAAACTAGGAACCTGAAATATATAAGTGGTATTTCTTCTACACTCTGTTATAATCCTCAGCCCAAGAACTATAATTCTCAAACTATGTAATCTCCACTGACTTATAAGCAGTCTTCCTGTGTAATATTTCAATTGCTACCGCTATGAAAAAACTATACTATATGTATCCTTATTGTGGATTTTTTATTAAGCATACATTTTTTAAATTAACTTAGTGCTTCTATGTTTTCTTTCGCAGACAAGAATCGCAATGCCAGTACTTCCGTTTCCGGTGATAAAGCGTCCAGTTTGTTCGAAGCTGCTGATCCGAGCACCGGCAGCGGCGTTGTCAAGCTAAAGCCCAGATCTAGGTCAGTATGCATACCTATTATTAGTTTTGCTCCATGGCGGGTGTGGTGCTGATGATTGCCTAATATAGAATGTGCTCCAAATTGCAGGTCACTCATACGCCGTGCTTCGCGCAAAACCAAACAGCAAATCAACAACGCGTCCGATGACTGTAATTTTCAATAAAGCAGCGGCAGGAGACAAGCGTGAAAGGTTAATTAGGAGAAAGTTGTCTGAAAAGCGCTGGCAAATATCTATAATTATATAATAAATAATAAACCACAGAAGCAAACGGACAACAACAGCAACAAAAAGAAGCAGCAAAAAACAAGCGGAAACTCAAAGTTACAATTGTCAACACAGCCATGGGCGAGTGTGTGTATGTGCGTGTGTGCCGGTGTTGGTGTGCAATGTGTATTGGTATATGTAGGCGCTGAAGCGTGTGTGTGTCCATTGCGAATCTGTATAATTTTAATTAACAGTCATCAAAGCGAATATAGCACTATGATCGCGTGAATGATGACGCGAGAAAAAAACTACACATTTTGATATTAAAGCTTAATTCGAACTATTTTACTTATATATAGTGTAGTATAAAAATAATAACAAAAACAAAACAAGTGTCGTTGATTAGATGGATAATAGCTATGGTTTTGTCGATATGAGGATAAATGTAACATATATTTGTTTGAACATATACTTGTAAAAAACACACTTCTGTACTCCATATACATGGTGGCAGTTTTATTGTTGTTAAAAAACGACAGATTAACGGTTTGAAAGAATTAAAAAAATATGTGAACAAATATTTACAACCTATTAAAATATTTATATATACGTAGTTAAATGACACCCTAGTTGTTATTCAAATTTTATAAATAATAATTAAAATAATAAGCGTAATTTTTTTTATAAGTATTAAAACATAATTAAAAACACATGTGGTTAAACTAACAATAATTGACTTGGAAAGACAAAAAAATGGGTTTTTATTCAATTCATTTTGTGTGAAAAATTTAAGTTTTTTGTCATTTATAAAGTAGAGACGTTGGGTTTACATATATTTTAAATTTAAAAAGTGCAACTGCATTGCATTTTTTTTTTTTTTTTTTTTAAATTTAATATTAATACTAATTTTAATATTTTTATATAAATATTTATAGTTGTTTTGCCTTTTATTTTCATTTTAGCGTTTACTTTTGATCAACAGTAGCATACCCCGTATATAGATCCTATGCAATTGATTCTTGGATTCTTGGTTTAGGTTAGATGGCTGATCTAGAGAAAAGGATAACATAAGAGTTGTTCGAACTAATAAATTAGCAAAACGTTTAATGGCTAATAGAAATTTGCATAGGCGCTTAATTTCATTCCCGTCAGTTTGGTAGGATGTCTGAAGGTATGTGCTTTAAGTCAGTAAGGAAACGCTGTGTAGTTTTCGCCTCAACTTCTTGTATACAGCTTCTGCATATGGCATCTGGTAACATTCCCAGCCTTATAGCATGGACACTACCACAACTAGAGAAAGGCTAGCCTTGTCGATGGTGTCTCAGTCTCAGATAATCTACCGTAAAGCCCAGTTATTTAATAATAGAACAAAAGAAGATACGTAAGCACCAACCTGCTCCCATTCTACCAATATGGGATCTCGGGTGGCTTTGCTTGCTAGCTTAACAATTGCATATGATTCCGCTGATTCCTGTCACTATTCGATTTGATCCAAGTGATTTGAAAAGAAGTCAAAGTGCGTGAGGATTTTCAAGTGTCAGACACATGTTCAGTTAGGAACCCAGATTTTCTGAATTTGATGGCAACTTTCGTATCAATACACCTACACAGTCTTACAAAAGTTTACATACGACCATAAAATTTTAATTATATTATAAATATCAAAATACTATTGATATGTTGCTGGTTTTTATAACTTTAAATGAAATATAAAACCATTATAAATACTCCTTAATACAAAATTTGTTGTMTTTACTAAAGTAACAACAAAAAAGTTAAAATGCTTTAATTCCCATATATACATAAGTATACATACGATTCAAAGAACAAAGTGTACCGTTATGAGGACCGTTGCAGATTTCTTGATATTTGCTTTAAATCATCAGTACAGCTTGACATTTCATAGAAAGTGATCGCAATTATAATTCTTTAGTCGAGAWGTGTTTTCTACTATAAATATGGGCAAAGGAAAGGAAGTTCCCGAACCAATTCGGAAAACCGTTGTAAAAATGAGGAATGAAGGTTATTCTTTAAGCGAAAWTGGAAGAATTTTAAATTTAAAGAAGCCAACAGTGCAAACAGTAGTAAAAAATTTCAAGGAAAATGGAAATTATGAAAGTAAACCACGCACCGGCCGCCCTCGGATGTTAGACAAAAGAACAGATAGAACAGTTATACGATTAATAAAAGAAAATCCCAAACAAAGTGCGGTCGAAATA